CCCCAAAACCCCAAAACCCCAAAACCCCAAAACCCCAAAACCCCAAAACCCCTTATTTACTAGCACTAATTGATATTTCTTTGAAATATTGCTAACATTATCTGTTACTTAGAGGAATACAAATTAGAGGTCTTCCTTTTGCTCAAGGTACTTTTTGTAGTAATCTGATTTCTCTTCCAAGAATTTCTTGAATCCTTCTACTTCTCTCTCACCTTCAAAGTCGATAGCGGTGGCTGATCCCTTAGGGAAGAACTTAATAGTTGGGAATCCTTGTACTTGGACAGTCTCGACTTCGTTGCCAGTAGCATCAATTTTGGCAATGACTAATCCATCAACTTCCTTCAATTCTTCAGCAAGTTCGGTGTACTTTGGCTCGAGGGCCTTGCAGTGTCCGCACCATGGGGCGTAGAACTCAAGAAGAACTTCTTGGTCTCCACCAACGAAATCGTTGAAGGTCTTTCCAACAATTACCTTGACTGGTTCATCATTAGTCTCTGGGATGTCATCACTCTTTAAGAATTTGGAGAGTTCTCCGTTTTCGTATTTAGTCAAGAACTTATCAACATCTTCTTCGGTCAATTGGGTGAGGTCTCCTTCATAGACATATTTTTCAATTCCAGATGGGTTGAATCCAAGAGTCAACAGTCTTGGAAGGTCAGCCTCAGTTGTTCCTACAAACTCAGCCAATCTCTGTTGGATTCCATCACTGACTCCAGAGTGAGCAAAGATAATTCTGCCCTTGTGGGTTCCAGCGGCCTTTGCAACAACATCCTTAATCTTGGCTTGCTCGTCGCTTCCGTCGTGGAACAAGAACAAAGCTGGAGCCTGGCTCTGGAAGATTGGCTCGATGTACTCGTCACTGAACTCAATGAAAACTGGGATGCTTGATGATGACACAAATTCTGAAACAGCGCTGGCAGTGAAGTCTCCGCTGAAGACAACGATTGGCTCATCGAAGTTTCTGAATACTGCAATTCCTGGTCTGCTGACTCCTTCTGGGGTGGTGGCATCTGAATCGAAGACATGTCTGTATTGGAACTTGTCATCTTTAGAGGCAGCGGATTCAAAGGCTTTAAACTCATCGGATCCTTCTTCACCGTAGAATACTGCAAACAATTTAGTATCTGCTTTCAATGATTCAATCTCATCAGCAGTAATCTCTGAGGTTGGGGGTCCTGATTTCTTAATAATCCAGTTGACGATCTCATCAGCAGTTCTTCCTCCATTATATTCAGTTGGTTCTCCGTTTACAAACCATTTCAGAGTTGGGAATCCTTTAATCTCAAATCTACCTCCGATTTCCTTCTCTTCAGTAGCATCTACCTTAGCAACTCTTACACCAACGTCCTTCTCTTTCAAGGCAGCAGCTGCTTTAACATATTCAGGGGCAAGTTTCTTGCAATGTCCACACCATGGAGCGTAGAATTCAACCAAAATTCTTTCATGGTTCTTGATTTCTTCATCAAAGTTGGCATCAGTCAACACAAGGACGCCTTCGTCCTCCTCTACTTCTGCAAAGGCAGTAAATGCCAGGATTGCAAGGAACAAAATAGCAAATATCTTAGCCATTTTTAATAAATCTAATAAATTTTTATGTAGATTTGTGCTAAACACGTATTAAATTCTATTCTTCAGAGAGATGGGGTTTTGGGGTTTTGGGGTTTTGGGGTTTTGGGGTTTTGGGGTTTTGGGG